AAGGCAAAAAAAAAAAAAAAAAAAAAGGAGAGAAGGAAGGAAAACCAATGGACACTAGTCTTAAGAAATCAATCTTAGGACAGCCGGGAAATTTCTTCCTCTTTGAGTGGCAGCGGCAATCCTAGGCTAAGGCCGGCTTGCCTGTTTTCAGATACACTCTCCACAGATGTGAGCAGAGCTACAACTAGAAAAGGCCACTTCTTCCCAATGGAAGGATAAGCAACAATTCCACAACACACGCCAGAGGGGCTTGGGCTTCCTTCCCTTCTGCCTCCTCTCTTGGCACGAGTCAGCTGCCAGTGCTGCCAGTGACAACAATCAGCCTAATGTCGTCTAATTGACCTCCCGCCTCCTCTGAGCTCTCAGGCAGGACCACTGGGATGCTTCCTTCAGGCCCAAGGCAAAGCTGTGCCCAACCTCCACCCACATGCCTTCCCGGAATGGACCCGCTCTTCCCAGCACACCGAGGCCTTAAAAACCCCACCGTGCCAGGATGCTTCCCCTAGTATTTAAGCCAGAACCAACCCCCTGCAGGGTCTGATCCTTTGAGTTCTCAGACCCAATCAAAGTTGGACTAAGCCAGCCAGCCCTATGTTGCCTTTTTTCCCCCCTTTTTCTTTTTTTGAATTATTTCCAGAGTAATCCACAAGAAAAGTACCACCAGAGCAGGGAACTGGGACAGCCAGAAAGATGGGGGCAGGCAGGAACTACCCCCCAAACCACCAGCCCCTCCCTCCAACCCTGGGCAGTCTCTCCTCTCGGAGAATCACAACGAGACTGACTGCTGTGTGGGCGATCTTATCAGGGAAAGCAAGCTGGTACCCACACTCCCAGAGCAAAAAATTCAGTCAAATAAATTGTCAACACATGTGACAGACACAGTAGGTTTTTTCTTAGAGATTTTGGTGTTCCGGTCCCCTTGCCCAACTCGACCCCGCACATTGACCCTCCTGGGTCGCCGCTGGGACTCCTCTGTCGCCAACATAAAAGCTGCCCTTACCCACAACCTGGATGATCTGCGCCAGGAGGACACCATCCGTCACATCTTGCTGGAGGTCCTTGATGAGACGTTTGTGGCCTGATTTGGCTAGATAATGATTGGCCCAGTCCGTGTAGATCTGCAACACAGTGAACATGCAGCTTTAGGAACCCAGTCAGACCCCACCTCGGAGGCCCAGGCAGCTGCTTGATCTGTGAAGCAGCCGCCATCCCACCGCCCCGCCTGCGAGCTCCGTGGGCCAGCCAGCACCATTAATATTCAGCTCACCGAGCCGAAGGGGCATTCAGCTAACCATAGTGAGGCTTTGGCCTATTGACAGATCTGCCGTCAAGGCTCGGGGAGAAGCTAGAGAAAGCTTCAAAACATGCAGGGGCTTGAATGCGACAGGGCCCATGGAACTAAACAGTATGCTTCAGACGGCTTTGAGAGCTGCAACTCTAAATGCAGGAAAAGTCTCCCCCACCCCACCCACCACCCGCCCCTTCCCATCTTTTTCTCTTTATTGAGAAAACATATGGGGAGGTTACCACCAAACAGGCATCTTTTAATGGGCCATCTCGGGGGTAAGGAGGGCTATTGAGTTAGCTGGGTTCTCAGGAGCCTGCGTCCCTTGTAAAGAAGCCAAGTATGAAAACACAAAGCCCTTCAATTACTCCTGTGTGACTGGGGTTATTGATAGCCTCACAATAATCTCAAATTTAATCCATTTAATTTAAAAGCCTGGCATCATCTTCATTGTTGGGATTCTGTGAACATCATACCCAGCAAATTCCAACATATTTAAACCAGCATTGGCGTGCACAACACCCTAAAAGGCAGAGGCTGGGTCACCCAAGGGGTCAGGAAAGCAGATCCCCTTGGGGGACATACAGATCTGCTCCTCTCAGTCAGAGAATCTGTCAGCACAGAAGAGCATTTTCTTCCAAGAGGACAAGCAGCACAGGAAAATTCACCTAAAAACTTTCTACCTAAATTAAATAAGCAAAAACAAAATTAAAAACCTCATCAATTTTGAATTAAGTTCCATGCATGGGTTTGTGAGCTTATGGGGAATATACACACAGGCCCTGTATATCAGCACCCTTTTTCCCTCCTCACAGTAAAATGAACTAATGGCTGCTCTAAAAAGAGAACTCTTCTACCTCAGCTGGTCCACATATTAACACCAACAGGTTCACACTAACCCGTACATCTCCTCCAGCATGATGGTGATCCCTCTACCTCCTGCCGCAGGCCTGCTCTCAGATCTCCTGTGACTCGCAAAAGAGCCCCATCCTCCGCCCAGCTCTCACCCTCCTCTGTTCTGGAGGCCCAGGAGTAATCTTATACAACAGGGCACTGCCCTTCAAGGCTCCTGCAATAGGGACAGCGGACCAGGCTGGACTTGCAAAGGACTGGCCCTTCTAGGGAGGCAACTCTGGCTACTCTACCTGCGATGGTGACAGCCTCATCACCAGAAAAGGCAAGGCAGAGGTGTACTTTCTAGTTCATCTCTAAGAGTGAAGAAGGACACCCCCTGTCCACCCCACCCCCACCCTGGAGCCTGATCTTCCACTGTGGAGACCCACAAGCCAGAGGCATGCCCCAGATGTTCTGTTTCACACCTCAGTCCGAAGTATCCAATCCCTTCCCCATGAATCCCAAGCTGTCATATTGAAAACCTAGTAAAGCAAGAGAATTTTCAACTTTGTAAGCACTGAGAAAGCTTCAGGCAGTGGAGGGCCACCTTGGTCATTACAATGGCCAATCTGAAATGTCAATGATCATTAAATGATACTGTTCAGAGGGAGAAAAACACTAAAAGGAGAAAGAGGTAGTCCTGGGTTCAAGTCCCAGTTCTGGAGGCACTGGTAGGGATCTGGGTTGTTTTACTCAGTGACGTGTCCCAGCAGCTGCCAATAGCACAAAGCACGGTAGTTCTCAGTCCGCATCTGTGGATGGGTGGGTGTATGGCAATGGGGCAGCTATTTAACCTGAGAGGCTAATTTTCCTTACCTATAAAATGGGATCAATATCATCTACTTGTCAGTTACTGTGATGACTGAGTGATACAACATATTTGGAAAGAAGGTACAGAGAGGAGCTTAATAACTATCACACAGTGCCTACTTCATGCCAGGCACTAGTATAAACGCTTTATATAAACTTATTTAATCCTCATTCTATAAGGTAAATACTGTAACAGTTTTTCAGAGGAGAAAATTGAAGTGCAGAAGTTAAAATAATTTAAGGTCACAAGTAAATAGCAAAGCCAGGATTTGAACCTAGGTTGACTCTAGAATCCCTCAGATAGTCTATAATAATACTGCTTTCTCCATGCACAAGATAAACGGCATTCAAATCCTTCACTCCTTCCCACGACACCCTTCTCCTGACTCTAGGCTCATTTCTCTGTTCAGTTACATTCTCAAAGAATTTAAAAAAATAAGAAAATAAAAACCCAAAGCCCAGTTCTAGCCCTTGCTGTCTGAATGCCCTTGGGTAAGTCACTCACCTTTTCTGAGCTTTAGTTTATTCCATTGTAAAACGGGTAGCATAAGGCCTACTTCAGAAGGTGGTTGAGAAGACTCAGTGAGGTACCACAGCAAAGCCTCTGACCTGACCCACAGTGGGGCTTAGGAAGTGGAAGCATTGGAGTAGTTGGCAAACAGGAAGACTCTGGAGTCTATAGACCTGTGTTACATCTTAGCCATGTTGCCAAGTACCTCAGTGACCTTTGACCTGGGTGTCATTTATAAGATGGGGATAATAATGCCTACATCAGGCTGTTATGAAGATGAAACAAGCTCATACATAAAGGACACAGCATACATGCTAAGTACTCAGTAAATAAAAGTAGTAATTAGAAATCTGACAACCCGCATTACAAAATGGCCCATAACAAAACAAACCACCGCCTCTATCTGGAACTTCTAAAAAACAAATGACTCAGGGACTCTTTCCCCTCCTCCTTCACGAGGCACAATCAATCCCAAGAGTCTGGAGCCTCCCAATCTGGAATCACAATGGTAGGCTGTTTTTTTTTTTAAAAAAAAAGCAGACCAGAAACTGGCCAGGCTGGGAATAGAAGGAAGCTTCCTTCCCTAAGGAGGAGATACACTCACAATGTGCCCTCAAGCCCTGGAGGGAGCCCCCCAGCTATGTCTCAGGGACAGTGAAACAGTCCAGAGCTTAAAGCCGACTGTCTCGCCCAAGACTATCAATGGAGGCGAAAAGGGTTCTGGGTAAGGACACCCCAGGAGGTGGTGATATTAGTACCTGCTCAGTCCCTTCCTAAGGGATTAAGGGTGCTTTAAAACAGATGTCCTCTCTAAAACCAGCCCTCTAGCTGTCTGACAATCCAGCAGGAAACTGAAGTTAAGCAAACTTGAGACCAAAGTGCACACATATGGACACACACACAGTGTCGCCCAAGCCATGGTCAGGTGTCTGGTATACCTGGGAGAACTTTTCAAGTTCTATAATGGGCAGAAGTGGCTCAGCCAAAGAAGTAAACCTCTCTGCCCCAAGCTGTTTTAAACAAGAGCTCTTTTCTCAACTTTATCTACCTACACGCCGCTGCCAGCTTAATCTTCCCAGAGCACAGCTCTAGTCCTGTCGCCTGCTCAAAAAAAATAATTAGTGCTCCCCATTGCCCCCTGAAGGGAAGGCAGACTTGTCAACGCTGATTCAAGGCATTCTTCTCCATCCACGCTTCCCCAGACCGCTCCTCCTCCCGTGAGAGGCAGCGCCTGTGGAAGAGCAGGGGCTTTGAGACTAAGTAAAGCTGGCCTTTGGCAGGGGAATTTCTATTAACCTTTCTGTACCTCAGTTTTATCCTCCATAAAATGGAATTATACCAACTATATTGTAAGGCAGGGACTGGCAACCTGTGACCCAGGTCAAACCCAGCTGACCACTGGTTTTTGTAAAGAGCTCTATCAGAACACAGCCACACCAATTTGTCTCTGGCAGCTTTCTTGCCTCAAGCATACATACAGCTGAGTAGTTGTGATGGAAATCTTTTAGCCCACAAAGTTTCACATATTTACTACGTAGCTCTTTACAGAAAAAAATTCGCTTCTCTGTATTATAGGGACTGAGGGAGACAATATGCTTACACAAAGCAAGTGCTCAGTAATTATGTTTATCCTCAGGGAAACTGGATTTCACAAGTTCTTGTCTGAGCTCATGCCACCCCATCTACTTGAGTGCTTCCATCTGGGGCCACCTGGCAAGGCTCTGTTCCTATGCCAGTGCCTCAGGAAGTCACTCTTCCCAGATTGCATCCTGAGCTGCGCATGTTGCACAGACTGCAGGGAACCTGTACACTGGTCCACCTTCCCACTCTCACCACCAGATTTGGGAGAGACTGTCTCGCCCATCTTTACTGCCCACTCAAGGAGGCGGCATCCGGCAAGAAGTTGCTAGCTGGTTGCTGGGTTGAGCTGAACAGATAGAAAAACGATGAAATTTTTGGGAAACTTGTTATGGGAATCTTTTTTTGGGAATCTTTGGGAATTTGCTTCTCACTTTTTTGGGGAATCTTTAGGAAACTGATTATGTTTGCAACTTATATAAGGTGGGTTCTCAGCAAATTCTTCAAACCAGGATCTCAAATCTTTGTATCGATGGAAAAGAGGAAGGAACTGGGAAAATAAATCACTCCACAGCTCAAGCTCATTAATTAGGACTCATCCAATGAGAATCATTAATTATCTGAGTCTCCCCTCCCCTGTCCCCAGCACTCACCTTGTTGAAGATGTGAGTCACAAGAAAACACTTAGATTTACTTTAGAAACCAGTTTTCACATGCCATGTTAAACACTGACATAATTCAGCCCTACCTCCCTCACTTGCTGTGTCTATAGCTCACACAATTGGTACCACTCTTCCAAACGGACACCCCTTGGAAAATAAACTCACAATCTACTCAGTCATCAAAGACAAAATCAGAATCCATTGGGTTTGGCAACTCAGCAAAAGCAGAGCAGAGCATTTGAAAAATTTTAAGCAAGGACTAAAGCATGTTGGGCTTATTACGTCTCAGGCATCCAGAAGCAATTTCTCCAGAACTTCTCCTTACCCAGTTCTGGAGACTTAGGGCAGCTGTTGCTTTTACCCTGGAGCCTATTGATC